TTTAAAAAGGATTAGGCTTCTCTCATATTGAAATCTCAACAGGACAAACTTGAGGGGTCTATAGGACCCATCACGGGTCCCGTTTTGATCATCCAAACTGTTTATTTTGTAAAGTCCACAATATATATTACCATGAAAAAAATTAGTTTGATCCAATAATTATAACCTTTTTATTATGTTGCATTTGTGTTTGAAAAAATAAGCGACAAATATGCTTTTGAAATAGGCCATTCATTTTTTAAAAAATAAATGTGATAAAATAAAAATATTATGATTATCGGATCAAGCTAATTTTTTCATGAATAATATACATTAATGTCCTGTAAAATAAACGGTTTGAATTATCGAAATGAGACATGTGTTGAGCTTTACAGACAGCTCAAGTACTATCGTATTGAGATCCCAACATAAGAAAAGTCCACCCTTTTAAAAAATACAAAAACTACTAATAAATCTATTTCCTCGCGTAAACGAGATTTCCATTAAAAAAATTCACAAATAATTTATCAAATAAATTTTCTAGACTAATTTCTTTGACAGACACGTTTACAAGTTTGAGCCATATGTCATTGTTAAAGATTAAGAGGACTTGAAAAATATTAAGAAAAGTAACTGAAAGTCAAACAAATTGGCAGCTTTGAGGATGTAGTTACTTTGATCATAAATGAAGCAATTACAAGTTCACATGGCATGTGATGAAAAAGATGGTGTCTATTGCACTTGGTTTGTTGATGTTACTTCACCCAAGATTCTCTCCTTTCGACCGTATTTTTTGGAAAATATTTACTACATATATAAAAGTCTCCTAATCGTACTTATAATGATATAATATTATATGTATCCACTTTTAATTCGTGATATATATCTAATAATATAAGGTTTCATTCATTTATCACATTATTGTAAATGAATTTATGAGTTGAAAATATGAATCTATAGCACTACTGAATTTTTTATACTCAAATCTTATTATCTCTATGTTATAAATTACTTGTATGCACAATTTGTTTTGGAAAAAAGAATATTTTACATAAAAAAAAAAATTCAAACTTTTTTCCTAATAGATGTATTAGTGGCGGTGTTGTGACAATAATGGTGTGACAGTGTCAGTCGTGGGATGAAGGTGGTAGTGGGGTGAGATATTGGGAGTGGTGGTGATTACAGTAATATTGTGGCATTGATAAAATTTTAGTTTGAAAAATATTTTTTACTTTTTAAAAGTAAAATATATTTTGTATCAAAATAAACTTATTTTTTGTTGTACTAAGGCCTAGTTTGGTATAATACAAAAAATTTAAAAAGTCAAAAAGTCACTATCCTATTTAAATCACATCATCTCAATTAAATCACATCATCTTTCTACCACATCATTTCAAATCCAATCCATATTTCACATTTTTTCGTAAAAATTCAAAAAGTGCACTTATTTATATCATCCCAAACAACCCTTAAATGTCAAAAAATACAAAAAAAAATATTTAAAAATATTTTTCATCCAATCAAACAAATGTTAATATTACCGTTATGACTACCTCCAACTTGAGGCCAAAGCTAAGTTAAGAATATTGCTTTCTGGAAAAGAACGCTAATATGATGTGAAATAATTGATATAAAACCTTGAGATATGATTGTGTGGTTAAAATTGTATTGAAAAAAAGAGAGAGATTTGAATACAGATGATCACTGGTCCTCTGCTTTAACATTTGTTTTTTATTCGAATTTGATCACCCGATGTCCTTAAAAATAGGGTTAGTGCAACGAAGGACTAAATTCTAAAAACAGTAACAAGATTAAAAATTAGGTACAGAATCAAAGATCTCTTCTTCTTTTTTTTCTAAGAGAGATCAAATCAAAGATCTTTGTATATTCTAGTTTTTTTTTTTTTTTTTATTTATTGCATGCTTATTATTTTCTAGACTAGATTTTTTTTTTTTTTTTTTTTTTTTTTTTTTTTTTTTTTTTTTTTTTTTTGAGGGAATGTCACAAGTTAAATAAAAAAATAGTAAAAACAACTAAAAAGCTATTAATCTAAAGTCAACAATGTCCTTTACATTAGCTTCAAGCAACAAAAATAATTTTTTGAGATAATGTTTCTTGAAGAAGAGGGATCCTAAAATGGATTAATTTTATCTTTAGTTGCGTACACACAAGCCACATCGTGTGCATAACAAACTAACTAATAAATTCACATTATTAAAATGATAAAATGTATAATGTAAAAATAAAATAAAAAAAAAAGCAAAACATATATATATATATAATCCATGCGAAAATGTCCTTATAAAAATGAAAAAACAAAAATGCTAAGCATACACTAGTTTAATGGTTTTATTGAGTACTGATGTTGAAAATGACAGACTTTCATTTTAAAACAATTTTGCATATTCACAATTAAATGGTGGATTGGGAGTCTCAATTAAACAACTTCAATAGATATAAACATTTTTTTTTTTTTGATAAATACGTATAAACATATTTATTACAACACAACAATCCAAATTTAGGCCTCGTTTGGCAAGAGGCTATTTTAGTCAATTAGCCAAAAAGTTACTAAATTAGCCAAAAAGCCAACAACCCATACCAAAAAGTCAAAGATTCTCTTTTCTCTCTACTTTTTGCACATCTTTTCGTAATTAGCCAAAAAGTCATCCCAAACATACAAGTTTTTTTTACCTACCTTTTTAGCCAAATAGCCAAAAAGTTACTAAATTAGCCTGTTCCCAAACGAAGCCTTAGTGCGTTGTGGTAATGGAAATGGCAATTTGCCCCATCTCACCCCATCTCGTGATTTTCTCGCCCCAATAATAAAAGGGAAAGGGAATGGAATTTACTTCCCCATCCTTACCAGATCGTATTAATTATCTTTTGTATCAATATATATATATATAGAATAATGCTATATGGATCAATTAATATACACACTAGTGTACTAACAAATGATATAATATCATTTGTATGGTTTTGAGTATTTGTAACTTGTATAATAAGTGCAGTCAATAATAATATCATAACACTAGTTGGTATACTAGTGTCTATATATATATAATATAATTTGTTAAATATAGTAAGATTAAAACATCAAAAATTCATGTATATCTCATTTTTCATGTGAATTAGCACCAAAGCAAGAGAACAAATTATATATTCATGGGTGCTTAACCAATGGTTTGCCCATGCATCAAACCAAAATTAATTAACCTTTTTGAGTTAAATATTATTTAATCACATGGTCAAAGCATAAGTATGGATTATTTATGATTGGAAGATGGATTTCTTACTAAACAAATTTAGAGAGGTATTGCTAATTACTCAAACATGCCCTACAATCATGTACTATTTCTAATCTAATGAATATTGACTTTTTTCAATATTGTTTTTTTGTTTTATTCTATTATCGAAATTTGGAACCAACAAACACAGTTAAAGTTCTTACATCTGATTAATACGTTAAGAATTCAGCTCTCATTGCAACACCTTCATTTGTTCATGGGTGAGAAGCAAAGCAGGAACCCAAAGCACGTGCCAGTGAGGGAATAATGGAGTAAGCAATAGGAAATGGGACGAGCACCACCACTTTTGCAACATCTTCAGTAAGTTCCATGCTAGCCCTAGAACCCAAAATCCGAAGCTATGATAAAATATCCTAGGTTCTGTATGGGAGCATCGGAGTTGGCACAAAGAATGCACATAGACTAAACAACAGGACCCAACTTCAAAGAGAAACGAAAATGTTCGCCTGGTATTTTTTGAAAGAGAAACGTGAGAAATTGCTTAACAATCCTAAGTCGAAACATCAACACCATTCATCCAAAAGGAGAGGGTTTTCATCATGACCCCAATGGAAAGCAGAGACACATCCAAGGTTCTGCATCAGAGTTAGCACAACGAATGCCCAGAGACTAAATCAGCTGATCTAACTTTGTATAGCGAGCTCACCAAACTAATCGTTTGCATTCCATTTTCTGAAAGAGACTCGTGAGAAAATGGGAGAGGGCTTTCATCAACACTATTCATCCAAAAAGGGAGAGCTATTCATCCAAAAAGGGGAGAGGGCTTTCATCATGATCCCAATGAAAAGCAGAGGAACAGAATTCCTATACAAAGCAAGGAAGAGGATTTGGTAAAGTGAATTTAGAAAGAAGGTAGGTCTCCATCTCCCCTACTTCTAGAAGCTCCTTTTTTTTGTTCTTTTCTTTTTTCTTTTTTTGCCCTTATGGGTAGTAGATTAGTTGTTTTTTAATCTGAAGTGCTAATTTGGTCCATCTAGTTTAGTCCTAGTATAGAACAGTGGTTGTTTGATGCAGCTTCTAATTACAACTTAGACTATCTCCAACGTTATATCAGATTCAGTATCAAATTTGAATTTGATGAAAAAAATCACTTTTCTGCTCCAATGGTTTCACCAAACTGATATCAAATTGAGAACGGAGCAAATTTTTCACCAAACTGAGAATCTGCACGAGCCTTCACCAATTCACTATGCTGTAACATTCCAAGTGGGCCCACTGGTCAACCTGCCGGACGTCCGGCCGGTCGACCCACCAATCAATCGGAAAAAGGTTCAAACAATTCAAATAAGTAGATTCAAACAAGTTCAAAAAGTTCAAAAAAAAATATTTTTTAGCCTTACCAGTCGACCCACCGGATGTCCTCTACCTTTTGATGACAACCATTAAAGCAGCTCATATCAGATTGAGAAAATGATCTTTTTTTTACTCAAATTTGATGAAAAAAAAAGTGAACCATTGGAGATGTTCTTATAAAACAAAATTAACTTAAATAAGCTAAAAATCCGGAAGCTAGAAGGGGTGTTTTTAGCTTCTATTTTCTAATTATCAACTTTCAGCTTGAGAAAAACTGCACCAAACAGGCTCAGTATTCAAGTCAGCCCTGTGCAAATGACATGGAATGTCTAAATTTGACCTAACCAAAGGTTGCACATAGTCTACAACAACCCACACTGTCCCAAACATCTAGGGGATAGCTTTTGCACAGGCCCAATAACAAATTCTGTTCATGTAGCGTTTTCAAAATGTTTTATGGCAACAAATGCAACTTCTAGAAGAAATGGTTGCTGCAGATCACAAATGCATATTGTACAAACCATGCAACTGAGCATCTCACCGATACACATGAAAAAATGGTTCCTCATCTAGAATGTGTTACAGCAATTGTATACATCATTGCCAATCACATACCAAACATCACTTTGGAAGGGAAGAATGTGCAGAATTTATGAATTTCCTAACCTGTTTTTAATGATGCACAATGGATCAGCTATGCCAACTACAGTCACTCTTGCTGTATTCAAGAGGGGGCGAGGATAATAGAATTTATCCCCTTCTAAAATTAATTTCATGAACTCTCTGCCTGCACTTTAAACAACGTATATCCACTCACACATCTGTTTTCTGCAACCAAAACAAAAAAAAGAAGGCTCTTTAGTACTTTTTTCCATCTCAAAGAAGATAATAAATAAAGAAATAAATACGCCACATCAAATGAGCAACATAGTACTGCAAAGGGTCCATATAAGGAGAAAATGGATTGATACAGGGACACGAGGAGTTAAACTCGCGAATCCCAAATGAACAATAGAAGTTAAACTACAATATAGACATATTACCTGTAATGTAATGTCAGCCAGATTGCAAGCTCGCAACCAAAAGAAATATCAAGTAAGAAGTAAAAGGAGCACTCCACCTGTTCTGTCTAAAAAACTACCAAGTACACTATACATGCATTTAAATAAATGAAGACTTTTATCTTTATATTTCCTAGGATCAGTTTGTCGTCGCATGGCCACAACCCTCGGTTGAACTTCCAAGTGCAATGCTTTATTTGTTCAAGCTTGGATTTAAACAAAATTAGGGAGGGAAAGGAAGGAGGGAGAAGGCTTAGAGTCTGCATATATTAGTGAAAAAATGGATGCTCAGTACCCACCTTAACCTGCTACTATTACCAAAGTCGATTATCTTTTGAATGTAAAACCAGACCAGCTGTGTATCAGGATCCATGAGTAATCCTAGCCTTTGTTGTATGTCCTGGACCGCATGGATTTTGGGAATACTTGGTGTCAGTGGATTAAGTTCTGTGTTTCTACTGTGCGGATGTCTGTTCTGATTAATGCTAATCTGGCCGGTTTTTCTCGACACACCAAGTTCTACGACAAGGGGATCTTTTGTCACCATTATTGTTCATTTTAGTGATGGAGGCATTGAGTAGACTGCTGGATAGGGCAGCCCATCAAGGCATGTAGGAGGGGTTTTTTGTGGATTCTTCGTCTGGGGCACCCATGTGTTTCTCATTTGCTATACGCAGCTGATGCTTTGATTTTTTGTGGGGCAAATGGGGTATTTGAGATTTGTTCTGCTTTGTTTTGAGGAGGTTTCGGGTCTTCGGGTTAATTTGAGGAAGTCGAAGCTAACTCCAATGGGGGAGGTTGATCGTCTGTCAGTGCTAGCGGTGGTTTTAGGCTGCAAGGTGTCAGTTTTGCCGGTGTCTTATTTGAGTTTGCCGCTGGGGGCAACATTTAAGGCGAAAAGGGTGTGGGAAGGGGTTGTGGAGCTGGTGCAGTGTCAGTTGGCAAATTGGAAGAGGCAATATCTATCGAAAGGAGGGAGCTTGATTTTGATTAAGGGTGTATTGAGTAGTATTCCTACTTTATGTCTGTGCATGTTATTCTAGTGTTAGTGGCACAGCGGTTGGAGAAGCTTCAAAGGGATTTTCTATGGAGCAGTGGAAGGGAACATTTTAGGTGTCATTTGGTTGATTGGAGGCAAATTTGTTGTCCTAAATAGGTATGGGGGTTGGGGATTTAGAGTCTGGTGACTTTTAATAGAGCTTTGTTAGGAAAGTGGATGTAGCGGTTTGCATTGGAGCATGATCGATTATGGTGGAGGGTGGTGGCTTCTAAAATATAGAGTGGGTAAGGGGAAGTGGGGGTCAAGGGATGTGGCTGGTACTCGTGGGTGTAGTATGTGGAAAGGGATCTAGTTGTAGAGGGTGGAGTTTTGGGATACGGTGGGTTTCCAAGTGGGTAATGGGAGGAGAGTGCCTTTCTGGAAGAATAAGTAGTGTGGTGAGGCTTTGTTAGAGGATCGCTTTCCTTTGATTTTCAGTATTGTGGTTGATCAGGAGGCCACTGTGACATCTTATTTGGGGGGTGGGGTTGTGGTTTGGGATATTCAGTTGCAGCGGCAGGTTCAAAATTGAGAGGTTAATCAATTGGTGGAGTTGTGGGGTTTTTTTGTATGGGTTAGGGGTTATTGGCGTAGGGGAGGACGTATTGGTGTGGAATGGTGTGGGAACTAAGGGATGGTTCTCTGTTTCATCGTTCTATTGGAGTTTAGTGGGGGAGGTGAGGATGGATTTCCCTTGGAAGAGTATTTAGATACCGGGAGTTCCATCTAAGGTGGCTTTCTTTATGTGGACAGTGGCCTCAGGTCAGAATCTCACAATTGATAATTTGGTTCGACGTGGTCATATTTGAGTTAATCGGTGTTGTATGTGTTATGCTACTATGGAATCGGTAAATCATCTATTTCTACATTGTCCTGTGGCTTCTCGTTTGTGGGGCTCATTTGTTCCCTTTTTGGGATTGTATGGGTTCAGCCACATAGGGTGATGTATGCTTTGGAGTTGGCGTAGGGCTAGGGTTGGGCATCGTCAAAGACATGTTTGGTCTTTGGCGCCACTTTGCTTGATGTGGTTAGTTTGGTTAGAGCGGAATAAGCGAACTATTCAAGAGGTTCAACATGGTGTATCTTGGTTAGAAAGTCGTCTCGCCTTTTACTTGTTTTGTATAGTTGATTGAAGAGGAAGATAGATCCGGATATGTTTGCTTTTTTAGATTTCTTGGTTGATGTTATTGGTTAAGGGTTGGTGCAGTGTTTTAAAAACCTCCAGGCGCACCGAGGTGATAAGGTCTCCTATAGCCTAAGCACAAGGCTTGAGGCGAGGCGCACATAGTAAAAGCAAAGCAAAATTATAAAATAGGCAAATTTTTTAACATAACAAATATATGTAATATATTAAAAATATAATATCCAACAAAAGGTATAAAGTATCACATCCACATCCACATCCACATCCACATCCACCAAAAATTTTATGGACAAAGATCATCCACATAAAATTAATAAACACATATCATTAAAATTAATAAAAAAAAATTATTTTTATAAACTAATCATCAAAATATATATACATGTATATAATATATAAAATAAATAAGACAGAAAAGCCAAAAAAAAATTGAAGAGAAAAATAAAAAATAAAATAGGAGAGAGAGAGAGGGGGGGTTAGAATCAGCCAGCATAAAAAAAGAAAAAAAAGAAAGAAAGAAAGAAAAGTCAGAGAGGATAGGACATAGGACAGAACAGAAGAAAGAGAGAGTAACTGAGAGACAGAGGAAAGAAGAAGAAGATCGAATGAAGAACAAGAAGATCGAAAGAAGAAGAAGAGAATCGAGCATTGACCAGCAAGTAGCAAGTAGTAACCAGAGAGCAATCAGCAGCAAGCAAGCAGAGACCAACAAAAGCAACGAGCAGCAACGAGAGGAAGAAACGAGAAGCGCATGAGGCGCTCGCCTCGAGCCTCAACATAAAGCGCTCGCCTTATCGCCTCGATTGCACCTCCTCTATGTCGCCTTACCTCGCCATGCATGAGGCGCAAAGCTGCGCCGTGCCTCGCCTCGCCTTGAGCTTAGGCACGCTTTTCAAAACACTAGGTTGGTGATTCCCTAATTGGGAATGTTTTGTATTCTTTGTATCATCTTGATGTTTTCTTAATAAAGCTTATGTATCCAAAAAAAAAAATGAGTAATCCTAGCCTTTGAAAATCTAGGCTTCTAACTCTTAAAAATTGTCTATATTTAGAATTCTAATTTCTAAATCCTAGGCATTAGAAGTTAGAACTGTTGTTGTGAAAGGCATAAATATAGTCAACTCAACAGGAAAGTCCACTAACAGTTGTAACACATAAATACACAGGACTGAAGAAAAAGATACAGAAAAAGCTCCTAAAACTACTATATATTACCGGTGGGGTCTCTAGCATAAGCATCAATGGTCGCAGCATTTTCCACTTTGTTCTTTCTTTTCACCATCTGAGTGTAGCAGCTGACTATCTGCTGATCAAGTTCGTAGTAGTGCTCCATCTTCTTCAAAGGTTTCATATCCAAGTCAAAAAAAGATGCCTAATAAATTGCAACTTCCATGAGCTATATATATGGAAAAAAGAGATGCTATGCATCAAAAAAACTCAACTTCTATGTTAGAAAATTTAATAACTAAAAAACTAGCAACCTTTTTTCAGGGAAGACCATCAGGAGATTACCACATTGTATATGAAAATGTAAATCCCACAACAATACTTCAATATAACAACAGCTTCATCCAAATTTTTATGAAAATTTGCAATCTAAAGATGAACCCATGTTTTTCATATGACACCCAAACACCACTTGAATTGTTTGACACCAGCCACATACTGAAATTTTAAATGATAGATTTGGATAGGCTGCATACCTTGTAATCAAAACTTTGATTAGTTGTTTCTAGAAATACACCACTATATGAAGATTCCACATCCCCATCTTCCCTGGGTCTAAAACTAATCATCATGCTCAAGTCCTTTGCAGTTGCAGCTATCAAATAGTCCCTCACAATTTTCAAGCTCTTATCCAAAGGCATTGAATGTAGATAAGCATATCTGCCTGACAGTTGCTCTTCACCCAGATCTCTACATGCTATACAAGGCTGAGAAACAACATCATAATATGCATGAATTGCCCCTTCTATGTCAAAGATATCAAGCTTTTGGACTTCAAGAAGCCGATCTAGTAACCCTGATCCGGAAACAGCTTCAGTAACAAGTTGCAGGAAATTCGTTGTACGTAAGCCATCATCTGCCTGAATAACACACTTGAGAACATCTTCAAATGCATTACCAATCATACAACTAGTAATATCTGCCCCACCACCCAAGCCCCCAAATATGAGGGAACCGTTCAAGAAAACACGAAAATTGTTCTGAGGAGTGCAAAAGAGAGCCGTGATTGCTTTATGTACTCTCTCCTTGGATCCAGAGAGCATATCCAAGGGATCATATTCACTTGTATCTGATATCTGAATAAAAAGCCGAACATATTGAGCCAATACTAAAGTGAAAAATAAATAGCTGATTGAACCAAAGCCAAATATAAATGCTGATTTGTAATGCACATGAACTGAGAGATCCCTCCCATTATAGCTTAGCCTCAAAGAGAAAATAGTAAGAAAAAAAAATACCTCTCTTTGATGCAATTTCAATGACTGGTGCATTTTAAAACGA